TAAGCAGTTTTATATTTTTGGTAATGTTTTAAGATGTGACAGATATATCCTCAAATAATACAATTATGCGATAGATCTGTGGATAGATCTTATGATATTATGAATCAATAAAAGTTAAATAAATTTTATAGAGTGATTATAATCACTGGTAACACTTGATTAATTCTCGAAAATGCTTTATCTTTTTAAATTTTTATTCAACTGATCTACATTTACATTCTATGTATTTTATTTACAGCCAAAGATAATCACGCGTCTACGCCCGCAGGCTTGTGGGTGTTGTCCGCCTTTCTGTTCTTCGTAATCATTGAAAAATTCATCGCTGCCATAAACGAGGAAGCCCCGATTATTGCAGAACAGCAGATTGATGAAGCTTCTATCAAGAATGTAATAAATAAAGAAAAAGAGATGGATAATAATAATTGTATTACAATGACGAACACTGGGAAGAACAATTTCCTTAAAAAAGGCTTGAAAAATACGGCCGAGGTAAATGCAAATAAAAATGTTATTACACTTTATGCTGTAATGTTATTTAAAATCTAAAAGTATAGTTATCTAATGATCGAAAATACGTTCTGCGATAGGTACATTTCCTGGAAAAACAGCCAAGTAAGATGGAGTTTATGCAAATCGCAAACAATATCAAAGATCCGCGAAAGAACGGTTTTAAAGATGCTGACATTATGAAATCCGCATTAGCAAGCGAATGTCCTAACGACGGTCCGCTGGTCGACGAGGCGAAAAACTGCTTGAAGAAACTTGCGAAGACTAACGGCTTCACATCGGCGATTTCACGTGTTGACTCACCATGCGTGCGCTCACCGAGCAATATTGTTATTCGTTTGATCGCATGGGCAAAGAAATTAATTTTCGACTTGTTCCGCAAATTTTTCGATCCCAAGGCCTTCCCCGGATACCTGAATCTTTTGATGAACTTCCTCGACAATTTTACTCACGGTTTATCCGTAGGTGGATCGTTCCTAATTTCCTTCCGCGTAGGTGCCCTTAGCACGTTCACTATTTTGGTGCACGAAATACCTCATGAGGTTGGCGATTTCGCTATTCTATTACGAAGCGGATTTAACAGATGGGATGCTGCGCGGGCGCAGTTAATCACGGCTAGCGGTGGAATCGTTGGTGCTTTGGCAGCCGTCTCCTTTTCTGGTAGTTTAGGTAAGTAATAGTTTAAAAAATTTGAAACATAGACAGTGTATAAAAACTTGATAAAAATAATGGATAAATTAATATAATAATAATATAGTTGCGTCTCTTAGCTTAATTATAAACATTTTATTTCGACATTATTCTCGATATTTATTTTACCTATTTCTTTGTATCAAGTAATTTTTAAAACACTTTCTGTACCGTAAACAAATTTACATGTAATATTATCTAGATCGGAAGAGCACAC